CTGCGCTGCCAAATCCCCGCCTGCGCTTACGCCCGGCGGGCATAAGAACAGGCAGGCACCCAGGCCTGGACCAGGCCCTTGCAAGATGATTCCAAGATATGTAGGCCCAACATAGCTGACATGGACGTACTTGGGGCCAGCAAGTCGAAAGCCAACAAAAAGCAACATACGCGCAACAATGGCACAACAAACCTGCAAGATGACCTGACATGGGGCTCAACAAGCGTCTGAAAAGTGGACGACATGGACGAAATTGAGCTCATGTTTGGCCCAGAAATGTGTACTTTCTGTGTTCTTGGAATAGGCAAACTTTTCCGAATCTGTTTCCTAGAAGATGAAATAAACGCAGCATAGAGCCAACATAGAGGGAAGATGGCCTGACATGGGATCAATTAGCTTTCAACAAATGCCACAAAGCGTCAGCATAAGCCTGGCATAGGCCCAACATGGCCGCAAGATGGAATGGCACAGGGTCAATAAGGGTTCAACAAGCACCTAAAAAAAACAACAAAGGCAAGATGGACGCTTTTAAGGCTTGATTTTCCTCGTTGTGTGACAATGAATCCAGTAATTGCTCTGTTCAATCAGCCACACCAGTAAGTACACCACCTAAAAAAGAAAAGTGGAACAATCACAAGCACACACACACAAAGTAATGTTGGGAGGTTAATAATAAAGCCCCTCCCAAGACAAGATTTTTTACCGAACTGAGTTTGTGAGATCCTTTTTTTTCATTCATTTTCAATTGCGCCCATTGAGTTTTTTTAATTCAATGTTGAACCCCTGGTCTCACAGCACCCGCGAATAAAAAAGCAGAAGGCCAATAGTGTTATATTGTTCCCCGAACTATCTATCTATCTATCTATCTATCTACCTATCTATCTATCTATTCATCCTTGTCTTTACGATATAGGGCGAGAGAGATAGATAGGAGATATATCTAGAGATAGATAGATGAAGCATTAGTACAGAGATACGGAGAGATGAGCGAGTAGATGGCGATCTATAGATCTATCTGTATAGAGATAAATAAATATCTAGTATATTTAATCGGATCGATCTATCTATCTATCTATCTATCTACCTACCTACCTACCTACCTATCTATCCTTCTATCTATCTATCTATCTATCTATCTATCTATCTATCTATCTATCTATCTATCTATCTATACATATATATCTATTTATCTACCTATCTATCTATCTCTCTATCTATATATTTACCTATCTATCTATCTATCTATCGATCTATCTATCTTTCTATCGATCTATCTATCTATCTATCCATCGATCTATCTATCTGTCTAGCCATCTATCTATCTCTCTATCTATCTATCTATCTTTCTATCTATCTATCTCTTTCATCTGTCTATCTGTCTACCTGTCTATCTGCCTATCTGTCTTTCTATCTACCTATCTATCTACCTATCTATCTATCTATCAATCTATCTAGCCATCTATCTATCTATCTGTCTGTCTATCTATCTACCTATCTATCTATCTGTCTATCTTTCTACCTATCTATCTCTCTATCTCTCCACCCATCTATCGCTCAAAACTCTCTCTATCTATCTATTTATCTATCTATTTATCTATCTATCTATCTGTCTGTCTATCTATCTATCTATCTATCTCTCTCTCTCTCTCTTTCATCTATCTATCTGTCTACCTGGCTATCTGTCTGTCTATCTATCTATCTATCTATCTGTCTGTCTGTCTGTCTATCTGTCTATCTGTCTATCTGTCTATCTTGCTATCTGTCTATCTGTCTATCTGTCTACCTGTCTACCTGTCTATTTGTGGTCAGTGTCATTCAGTGCAATGTAGAGTAGTGAAATGTAGTGTGGTGGTGTAGTGGAGTGTATCATGTCATCATGTCGCCGTCGGATATGTTTGGATCAAAGCATTTCGCCACTGGGTGTGCCACGATGAACATAAACGTCAACATCATGCTGACCCCTTTTCATATCATTCGCATGGCACCTATCTCACTAGAATTTACCAAAGAACATAAAACATCATTTTTTCGGGGTTGCGCTTCATCTCGCCTCGATGAAGCACAACCAAGTGCTTGGGAGCACAACCAAAGTCATTTATCGCACAAAAATGAGCTTGGTTGCGCCCCCAAACGCTGGGTTGCGCTTCATCTCCCCTCGATGAAGCACAACCTTGGAAAATGATATTTTTTTATCTTCTTTGGTAAATTTATGTCTTCCAGACCCCTCTTCCAGACCGTAGTAGTAGTCGTAGTCGTAGTCGTCGTCGTCGTAGTAGTAGTAGTCGTAGTAGTAGTAGTAGTAGTAGTAGTAGTAGTCCTCGTAGTAGTAGTAGTAGTAGTAGTAGTAGTAAAAGTAGTAGTAGTAGTAGTAGTAGTAGTAGTAGTAGTGGTAGTAGTAGTAGTACTACGGCCAGGACGGATGTGCTGCCCGGGAAAGTGCGTTTTGACTGCGCAGGGCCAATGTTTTGTGAGATTCCCCGTGTCGTTCGTTTGGGCAAACGGATGACGAATTTTTCCCTCATTTCATCAACATCATCATCATCAGCATCATCAGCAACAACATCAACATCATCAACATCATCAACATCCCAATTGACTGTAAAGTTTAACGGGGGTAGGAGTTTACTATTCCCTAATACCCTTGTTGATCTTCCCAATTGAATGCAAAGTTTAACGGGGATGGGAGTTTAATATTCCCTAATACCCTTGTTGATCTTCGCAATCGAATGTAAAGTTTAACGGGGGTGGGAGTTTAATATACCCTAATACATTTGTTGATCTTCCCAATTGAATGCAAAGTTTAACGGGGGTGGGAGTTTAATATTCCAATGTAAAGTTTAACCGGGGTGGGAGTTTAATATTCCCTAATACCCTTGTTAGTGGGAGAACCTCCACAGAGTCAACCCCTAACTTGGTTGACCCTCTGGAGGCCCCTCCACCGGGCCCACGTATTCGGAGTTCGGAACGTACTTGCACAGAACAAAAAACGATACTTTATGCATACTTAGTAGAAATCACAAGGTCAACAACTAACCAAAAACATTAGTTTCTGTGGACCCGGTTGGACTTTATGTAAACTTGCTAGAAATCACAAGAAGTCAACAACTAACCAAAAACAATAGTTTCTGTGGACCCGGGGGGAGAGCCTCCACAGAGTCAACCCCTCACTTGGTTGACCCTCTGGAGGCCCCTCCACCGGGCCCACCTATTCGGAGTTCGGAACGTAATTGTACAGAACAAAAAACGATATTTTATGTATACTTGGTAGAAATCACAAGGTCAACAACTAACCAAAAACATTAATTTCTGTGGACCCGGTTGGACTTTATGTAAACTTGCTAGAAATCACAAAGGCAACAACTAACCAAAAACAATAGTTTCTGTGGACCCGGTGGGAGAGCCTCCACAGAGTCAACCCCTCACTTGGTTGACCCTCTGGAGGCCCCTCCACCGGGCCCACCTATTCGGAGTTCGGAACGTACTTGTACAGAACAAAAAACGATATTTTATGTATACTTGGTAGAAATCACAAGGTCAACAACTAACCAAAAACATTAGTTTCTGTGGACCCGGTTGGACTTTATGTAAACTTGCTAGAAATCACAAAGGCAACAACTAACCAAAAACAATAGTTTCTGTGGATCCGGTGGGAGAGCCTCCACAGAGTCAACCCCTCACTTGGTTGACCCTCTGGAGGCCCCTCCACCGGGCCCACCTATTCGGAGTTCGGAACGTACTTGTACAGAACAAAAAACGATATTTTATGTAGTCGTGGCGGAAGCGCCTCCACAGCGTCAACAACTAGCTCAGTCGACTCCCTGGAGGCCCGTCCAACGAGTCCGCGTGCTGACAACACGGTATACCTACAAGAATAACGATTCACCAACAACAAGCACACAAACATTCCAGCTGCTTGGGTGAGCTTTTCAAACTCCAAAAGTTTCTTTCCAACCGATTCTTGTCCAAAATGCCTACCTTATACATCTAACGTTAGAAATCGGCAAACTCTTCAACGCAATTTCCACGAAGTCATGAATCCGCTTGTTGATCTTCGCAATTGAATGTAAAGTTTAACGGGGGTAGGAGTTTACTATTCCCTAATACCCTTGTTGATCTTCCCAACTGAATGCAAAGTTTAACGGGGGTGGGAGTTTAATATTCCCTAATACCCTTGTTGATCTTCCCAATTCAATGTAAAGGTTAACAGGGGTGGGAGTTTAAAATTCCCTAATACTTTTGTTGATCTTCTCAATTGAATGTAAAGTGTAACGGGCCTGGGCGTCGTAGTAGTAGTAGTAGTAGTAGTAGTAGTAGTAGTAGTGGTAGTGGTAGTGGTAGTGGTAGTGGTAGTGGTAGTGGTAGTGGTAGTGGTAGTGGTAGTGGTAGTGGTACTGTTAGTGGTAGTGGTAGTGGTAGTAGTAGTAGTAGTAGTAGCAGTCGTAGTAGTAGAAGTAATAGTAATAGTAATAGTAGTAGCAGTAGTAGTAGCAGTAGTAGTAGTAGTCGTCGTCGTAGTAGTAGTAGCCGTGGTAGCAGTAGTAGTAGTAGTAGTAGTCGTAGTCGTAGTCGTAGTAGTAGTAGTAGTAGTAGTAGTCGTCGTCGTCGGTCGTCGTCATAGTAGTAGTAGTCATAGTAGTAGAAGTAGTCGTCGTCGTAGTAGTAGTAGTAGTCGTCGTCGTAGTAGTAGTAGTTCTCATAGTAGTAGTAGTAGTAGTCCTCATAGTAGTAGTAGTAGTCCTCATAGTAGTAGTAGTAGTCCTCGTAGTAGTAGTAGTAGTAGTAGTCATAGTAGTAGTAGTAGTAGTAGTAGTAGTAGTAGTAGTCCTCATAGTAGTAGTAGTAGTAGTAATAGTAGTAGTAGTAGTAGTCGTCGTCGTCGTCGGCGTGCTTGCGTTACAAACAGTCGCACCTTCTCTTGCCTCTCCCTCCTGCCTTTTCCCCCCCTACCTTTCGTCCCCCCCCTCTCAAGTTTTGGTAGCCTTTTGTCAGACCGATGTGGCATGCTGGAGTTGGCATGGGGCTGGTTGACATTCTGCATGTTGTCTTCCTCACTCGTGAGCCTTGCAATCCTCTTGATTTTGCAACTGAGTCATCTAAGTTAGATCATGTTACATCAGTTTTGTCAAGATATGTCAAGTTATATCCCTAGCGCTATATAATACCAGTGGTCCGTAGTTTCAATGTTTCAGATGTGCAGTTTCGATTGCCTCAGGAAGCGTTGCAACCTGCAATTCAGCAGTTGGAGGAGTGGAAAATTGATGCTCCGCGCCTTGACCGCTACCGCTATCCAAACCTCAGGATGGTGACTGTGACTGGATGTGACTGGATGTGACTGGATGTGACTGGAATAGATCTCTTAAAACGCAGCAAGGCCTCAACGTAACTTCCCAAGGCACTGCGACAACTTTTGCCAGTCTCTCTTGGAAAAGCTGATCGAGAAAGATGCCTTCAACCCGGTGATTCTGAGAGCGTGAGATTCTCAGGGGAAGCTTCTGTGTGGGTCCAAGATGCTCCAAGCATGTAATATATCTATATCCATATAATATAATATATATATATATATTATATATGTATATTTCTGTTGCATGTGTGTCAGATTTCTGTCACTGCGTAGCTGCGTAGCTATCTCTCTTGTTGAATGCATGGTGCATCCATGTCCTCAGGCTGCAGCCCTTGATGCAATCAGACACGCAGAAAAAGCTGTGCTGGAAGCAATTGACACTTGGCACGATCACCAGCGTCACGAGCAGTTGCTGTAGAGAGTGGTTTTATATTCTTGTGGGAAAATTTGATGGGTCAGTTTGAAACAAGCTGTGACAAGCTGCTTGTAGTTAGATAGAGCGAATTGAACGCGTGCAGATGTATGGAAAGTCCAGTTTTCCGAGCAGAAAATTACATAAGTCTCAGCTGGTGACTACAATTCCCTGTTATGACGGTTGAAACCATGCATTCCCTTCGGTTCTGCGGAGGCTCAAACGTCAAATTCAATCATTGATAGGCCATGATGGGCCATTGTGCCAAAATTCAATTGTTCTGCTTGGGATACCTTTAAGATCCTTTAAGAACTCATAACATTTGAGACTTTTAAGGTTGCAGTGAATTTCAGGTTTTCGATGGTTAAAAAGTGCTCCCACTTTTTCCAAGGATTGGATGCCTCAGAAAGTTGAAGAAAAGTGGAGGCCACTGGTGGAACTGGGTGCCTCGTGATCTCGTGTGACTCTTGTGTCGCTGGCAATGCTACGACCTCTGTTGGAAGAAATGAGGGAAAGATATGGAAAATTATGGAAAGATTGGAAAAGATGGAAAAGTATGCATCAGGAAGGAGAACATGGAAAAACTTCACATTGACATGATGAATCATGATACTTCTGAAAAACAATGTAAACAATATGTAAGAGAAACTAAGACAAGGAGATCATAGAGGAGGATGACGGACGGAGGATGTAAGCGCAGCACCTTGCGATGACAGGCCAGAACCTGGTTCGAAAGGCCCTAGATATCCAAGAGCTCGTTAGCCTTGCAGCGAACGCTAGAGGCTGTCGGGGCCACAGCAGAACCGTTATGGAACTGTTCCGGAAGTGTTACGGAACCTGACTGGCGACATTTGGTGACCCACCAGGTCGATTACCAGGCTGTGCAAACAGTTGAATCAGAATCCTCATGCGGTTGTGATAGTGGGATATAGTATGATATAGTGGGGGACAGGGACATTGCTGAGGCCCTGTAGAAAATGCCCGTCGAACTCTGGAATCTGAGTGTTGAGGGTTTTGGCTTTAGAGAAGTTCGAGCATCGGCTTGAGGTCAATGCACGGGCTTAGGCTTTAAAACTTTAGACGGTTTAGATGGCTCAGGCCGCGGATGACCTTGTGGTTCAGACTACGAGATTTTTCATCTGTTGCACGTCTCACCCGAATTTGTACATCGCTTGCGGCACCAGCACAGGCCCCTCGGAAAATCTGGCAGCATCTTGCAGTATCTTGTTGAGTCGCCTCTGGATGCACTACAAATCCCTACAGAGAGACATCCAGAAAGTACCACAAGGACAAGAGTATCCTAGTGCAACCAGATGCAACCAGAAGACAATTATTTGGAAGAGCAGATGAAGAGCCCGTTTTGGGAGGTGCAAAGGCAACAACCGACAAGTACGTGTAGCTCAGTACGTGTGGCTCAAATTCTCAATCCTGGCATGTGAACATGTGTGAACACGTTGCAATTGGAAACGGGGCGAAGAAAAAGTGAAACATGTGAAACACCTTGCTCATCATATCTCATCATATCTCATCATATCTCATCATATCTCATCATATCTCATCATATCCCTGCGATGAAGTCACCTGCGAAGTGGATTGCACAGCGAAGATTTTTCGCCGTGATTCCCATCTCGGGTTTCACCGCAGTTTAGCACACCAGTCTCATCACATCTCATCACAAGCCTCAGGTGAGTTTAGCGTGTCCCCAGTGCCAACTTTTTGCAGAGAGTGAGAGAGCGCGAGCGAGTGAAGAAGGCCTAATGGCCTAATGGCATTAGGCATGACATGGCGCGACATGTTCGAGCATGTTTGAGCGAATCTCATAGCAAATTACTTTTCTCGGATGTTACTCAAAGTGTGCCGTTGTCCCTGAATTCTCAGCGGAAACAACAACGATTAACCATCCAAATATTGGCGCAAACTCTTCCCATCTTTGAGATCAAAACCCCATTGATGCAGATCAGGAAATCAGCATCCACGCGCACAGCCATGAAATCGGGAGCTGGTGCAAGCCAGATGAAGCATCAGGGAAACTGCAAGTGATAATCAGGTTCTTCAAACTGCTAATTCCGTTGATGCATGGACATCCGGGAGTTTGCTGGGGTAACCGGAGGCTCCAAACTTTGAACATAAGTAGCACTGGCCCAGCCTTCGCATTTTACATGTGCAAATGTGCCTCCATAGTGCCAAAGGGAAGAAGGAAAACGCGTATCCAAACCAATGCCGCTGCCCTTTTCCCATGAGATTTGCTCTTTCTGGTCAAATGGCCCTTCAAATGGCACGATATTTCCCACATTCTGCATTCAACGCTTCCTACCAGAGCGGTGGCTATGTGTGGCTGCTTGACCCAGAACGTTTCTCTGTGGGGTTACTCACCACGCAGTTATATAAGCCTTGACTCTTCATGATTGCAGAAATGCAGTGATATTAATTATATAATATTATATAATAATATAATATCTATTGTGTATTATATATACCTATGACTATGATATATATATATATAGTATTTGAATATGCATGAATAAATATATAGATGCATATATATATATACACGTATGCATATGCATATTATTGAATGATATTGAATGCATATAGAGTGCATGTTGCTACAAATTCATTGGGATCCAAAGGGTGGGCTAGCGCTAGCATTGGCTTAATCCCTGTGCACTTTTGACGACGGTGATGTGAAGAATGGGAAGATGAGGGAAGCCAATATCAAAACATTTAAAAACCAAAAACAAATCTGTTAGCAGGTGAGCTTCAGTTGGGAACTGCAAAAGCTAAACAGCAAAACTTTGTAAAACTTTGAGCCGTGCAAAGTGCGTGGAAAAAGCAATAATTATTAAAAATCCGTATGCACCACAATGAAATTGATGCGTGTGACTCACCGTCATGGTCCGGCCAGTCACAATCTGTAGGATGCAGTAGGGCTACCTGATTGTGTCAATTTAAGTGTCACATGTTTGATTTGTTTCATTGATGATATTGATGATCCAAATCATACTCGTCACGGTGGCGGAATGTGGTCGATTTGCCAAACAATATTGACTCTTTGAATTTTGTGGCATTATGTGGCATCGTTCCCCTCACACACCTGCCACAAAGTTCGCAGCGAAGTTCAAATCCGTGGTGATCCCGGTTGGTGGTCGCTGATGTTGGGGCGCCATGGTTTTGCCATGGTCCTTTTTAGCTCCTTGCGGAGGGCAGCAACTCAACCCTTACAGCGTCACCAGCTGCCGGTCTCGGCATGGCGAAAGAATTCTCGAAGTTGTATCCAACTTGGTGATGTGAGATCCTTTAAGGAATCGGGTCACACAGGCCAGGTATGTCCAGGCCGTTTAATGCAATGAATATTATAAGACTCAGTAGACTCTAAGGGTGACCAAGGGTGACCAAGGGTGACCAAGGCAGCACTTGGCGAATTCTTTGAGCTGTTGGCGAATTATGTTTCTTTGAATCTTCCGAAGAATCCCCCAAGATCTCCAGAGATCATCTCAGAATGCACCTTGCAGTGCCTGACGCAGGTGACGCAGATGAGTTGCTGTGCGCCGTGGGAGGCATCATTGGTTCGGAACTCCCAGACCGCGTCGCAAGGAAAGAGCTCTTCGAAGCCCATGCTGTGGCCAGAGTCGTGGATCGACACTTCCCTGAGGAAACTGAAATCACCGAGTTCTGTGCAGGTTTCGACCGGGGATGCCTACCGGGATGCCATTGGGTATTTTGGATAAAATCCCATTAAATCCCATTAAACCACCATTAAATCACCATTAAACCACCATAAAATCATGTTAATCTTGTGTTTGGTCACAAGATGTCACAAGATTTTGATCTGATGATATCTGATGTCACATGATATCTCATGTTGTTTCACTCGGTCTCATGTGGCCATCTCGGTCTTGGTGGCTGTTTGTTTGGTATTTTCTCTTGCTCTAGACTCTAGAAGCTGTTCATGTATTGTGATATATTCTGATTATCAATGATTATAATCATGATTTATACATTTATACATATTTACGAGGCAGTGTATGAGACATGTTCAGACTCTGCAGGTTGCGGTTTGTTGGGGATTTTCTTGATGCTATTGAATCCTCGGCGACGAGTGCGATGTTCAGACAAGAAGAAACAGCTCTTAGCTTGCCGCCTGCAAGATGCATTGACAGTACACTGGCCATTTCTGCAGGGAATCACCTGGGAGGAGGCGAGTTACTAAGTTTAGGGAGCCAGAATTCGTTTTTTTTTGGCCAATGTTCGACATGTTTTTGTTCCGGAAAATCGAGGAGATGCTGAGATTGCAGCTGATGACTTGTTTCGTGGTATTGTATATGTGTATAGTATTCTATATAATATATACTATAATTATATTATATTTAGTATTTACACATTTATTGTTAATTTTTATTCATTTATTCATTTACTATTCTATTTAGATGTGTGTTTTATGTATGGTTTTCTCAGGAGGATGCCAGGCATGGGCAGCTCAAGACGAGAGGGGAACTGGTGGCATCCTGCCATGCCTGCAGCGTCCTCTCCGATGAGGTCATCCTGACAGCGAGGCGCGGCAGGTCGCCGCTGGTGTTGGTGCCATGCTGCTATCAGAAGGCCCCACGGTTGCCTCGCGAAGTGGGATGGCCTTGGTTGCCCAACTGGTCCTGGAAAAGGTGGCCATGGTTGGAAGAGGGGAGTATCAATGCACAAGGACGAGATGCCATCCACGCGGCTAGAGTCAAGTGTTTGGAGGAGGATGGTTATGAAGTTTGGGAAGAATTTATCGACCCAAACATCTCCAAGATGAACATGGCAATTGTTGCACAACCAACCTAGGAGCCACACAAAGCTGAACGGAACTCAGATCCGTCCACAAACGGCTTCAGCTCGCTTCAGCGCCCTGATCTGATGGTGAATCTTGATGAATCTTGAGCATTTGACATCGACATCACTGTGGCCATTGAAGGCCTAAGGGCCTAAGGCTTGGCCTAGGGCCATCCTAAAGCCTTATGGAATTCTTATGGCTACGATCGCACCCTACCGGGCACCTCCGGAGCAGCCATGGTGAGCCGAGCAGCTGACCGGGATGCCGCTGCTTGGAAAAAATCGCCGAAATCGCCTGATTTTGACATCGATCGGCGCTGAGTTTTGTGAAATTGCCTCCTCTGATTTCATGATGATGAAGCCACTTGAATCCACTTGAGTTCTTTCAGAATCTGTTAATATCTGTTATTTTTTCAAGACCGTCGCATGGTCTGCCAGGTGTCCTGGCTGATGCCGTATTTGTTACTTCCAGATTCCAGGTGCTTCCCATTGATGCACTGCAGATGCTGATGCTCTGAAGCCCTTACAAGTTGACACTTATGATATGTCAATATGGTCAATATGGTCGTGTATGTTGTGTAAAATGATACGGTCGCCCTTGGGTTTGAGAATTTCGTTCAACCCCCGTGAGATACAGCGTCAACTCTGGCATCGTGTTGCTCAGCCTCAGCAGCATTTTAATCGCCGCAGCGCAAATCTCAGTGACTTATTGTATTTCTATTATTTTCTATTTATTTCATTTTATTTCTATTTATTTGTGGCCTGGCAGAGCCAGTCTTTTTTCCAAGCAACTTGATTCCATGGATTTAAAGACATCGGTATTTTCCTCACAGCTTCACGATCTCTTGAACAGAGATGATTAGAGAGAGATCCGGAGCACCATCGAAGGAGATCGAAGGAGCACATTCAGAACAGTGCTGCGAATCGCCTCATTTTTTGGGCGACTTGTGCCCTGAGGTCAGCGTGCAGTTCCTAGTTGCTTTGTTATCCGAGGCTTGGAGACTGAGAAGATTTGCAATGGTAGCAATGGTAGCAATGTGGGATGGTCGAAATGACAGAAATTATAGCATTAGATAGCATTAAATAATTTGCTTCCCTATATCTTTCATATTCTTTCATGCTTGGGCATTGAGTGAATGTGGTGAAGAAACTTCTCTATACTGTGTACTGTGAGATGCAACGTAATACGTAATATAATGATTTTGATGAGGGTGATTGCAGTGCAGTTTGATGCAAGTAACTGCAATTTAATGTAATTTGTATATTCGATCATATTCCCGCATGACCGGATTGTATGAACATTGCTGACACATTCGTGCAACGTCATGTATTGTGTTGCTTTGCATATTACTGTGCTAAAGTATGTTCTGAACGTAGTGAGGTAGCGCAAACTTAGTAAAGCTAATTCAATGCGATTGGATGCTTGCATGGACGCACCACACCATTCACAGGACACACACACATACTCATAATATCTCCTCATAAGATATAATAAGATGATAAATGAAGTGCATATTAAATTAATATAACAATAAAATTGAGTATACGTAGTACATACGCTCGTCTTTCTGTTTGTATTTACTATACTGTACATGTGTTCTTAGCCTCAGAAATAGTGGAAGGACTTTGCCAATTAAAAGCGTACATTTCTTGATTTCGTTTGTGTTGCTTCCATTCGAATAGCTTCGCACCTTTGGACAGCCAGGTACAGCAGAACGAGCAGCATTCCAAATCTCTTGGGTGCTGACCCGAGCATCTCACGGAAGTGAAATGAAGTGAAATTTGTTGATCATTGCAGCATATCGCAGCGAAGGCAAGAGTCACTTGAAGTGGAGTGGTCTGCCTACATTGAAGATTTGCTGGATAAGGCCCGGTGGTTTCCTCTCTGACAAGTTTGTTTCGTGTAGATCAGAATGAAAATAGGAAATATAGGAAGAACAGTGCCATATATTTCCATCTATATCTTAGATTTCATAATCTTTCATCATATTTCATCCACTTTCCATATGTTCCGATGGTTTCCTCCCGTGAAAACTCCGTTTTCACAAGCCGCCCCAGGCCATTGCCATGTCCGACGGCACAGACGGCAACAAGCCCCTTGCCACGTGCTGTGCGGTGCCGGTGCCGTCACTTTCTTCACTCAGTGGACCCAGGTGGCGTTTCGAAGGACGAGAGCACAGCACGGAGATCTACAGCCAGGACGTGTGATTTTGAACTAAATTTTGATTAGTTTTGATTGTTATATAAATATATGTTTCCCGTTTGTTTCCCGTTGGTTTCTGCATGCTTTGACTGGGCGATCGCATCTCTTGACACGATTGCTTGCACTGCTTGGCCCGGGCTCTACATCTAGAGAGTAGTGTGGGGTCAAGACGCCATGACTCACCTCAGCGTGACAGAAATTCACTGAATCCCAAAGTGTCGCCCCTTGGTTCTTCAAATGATGAAAGATGCAAAACACATCAAAACACCGACTCCTCAACTATAGAGTTGCTTAGAGTTGCTATGAGTCTACTGATGTCTATATAATGAGTCTAGAGAATGTGCTGAGCTTATCATTTCAAAGCTGTTGCGCTCCAGAAAGCCATGTCATGCCATGTCACCGCATGTCACAGCTGGTCACATCATGTACTGTAGCTATCTATAGCTGCAAAAAAGTTGACTGCGTCCTGTCACGGTCTGAGCCCATGGTGACCGCAGCAATCTCAGCATTTCGGTTCCCAATTTGCATCTGAGAGTTCCCGTTCTAATTCGCCATCCATGTTATGCTGAATCATTATGCGTTTCTATGTGCAGATAGACTCAGATAGATGTTGCAAGCTTGAGTTTCAAGAACTTGCCTCCCATTGCCTCCCAACGTTTCGGCGTTAATTCTTGAAGGCATTTGTTGCAACCTGTTACGGAGAAAGAACATGAGCAAATGATAACAAATGCATGAACTCCCGGACACTGCGATGGAGAGAGAGATAACAAATGCATGCAGTCAGTCCCTGCAATGAATCATATTCATTCCGATTCATTGTCGTTTGGCGCAGTCATCGTGTGTTAAGGCCCAGAGGTTGGCGGTTACTCCGCGCTTCGTAGCCCTCGAGGTCCCAAGCAAAAGGGGAACATGTAGAATCAGACAGAAATGGATGCGACGCCCAGGCTGAGTTGGTCATGGTCAGATGTCAGATGAAAGAGACATGTTGCCACCGTGTTGCCTGACCTTCCTTCATCATCTTCATCCTTTGTGTATTCTTTACATTTCTTTACGTAGCAATGACATGCAATGACATTCTGCACCATTCCAGGTGCATTCGGGAGATGAGGACAGACTCAGGGCCCGATCGGAGATGATCGGAGCCCATGTGAGAAAGGGACTCTGGGTTGTCGGGTTTGTCGAGGGAACAGGGCTTCTAAGCCACGTCTGAATGTGATGTCGAATAGTACTGTTATTATTTGTTATTGAATCGTATTAGGATCTTTATATCTTTATTATTAGTAGTAGTATAGTATCATTGTTGGCACTCTTGTTGTTGCTATTGTTATTGATGTTATCATTGTTATTACTACACACATGCGTTTTATTTGTGGATGGGTTGTTGACTGCATGACATGCAGATGTTGACGCACAAAGCGTCAGCAAGCTAATGAAAACACTCTGTAGGCACAGGATTTTCCACTTGAAATGGGAAGCCTGGGGGCTGGCAAGGACGAGGTCTTAACTAACACTTACCGACTTGCAAGGAAATCTGGCACATCTCCGGCTGAAAATAGTTGTGTGACGAGAGAATAGACCTACGTAATTAAAGCATGTTAATCATGATAAATTATGATAATTATGTGAAGTAATGTCAAATAATGTTAAATCATCTTAAGACATTGTTAAATTATGTTCAATATTAAAATGCTGCGCAGTCATGAACAGACCTCAGCTATGCTGAGAGGAAATTGTCAAGACCGCGGAGCTTATGCCTCAGCCCGTGAAGACACCGTTGAGGAATTTTGATGCCAATAGTGTCAACATAGTCAGTAACTCGAGTAGATTAAGGATATTACTTAATGCATCTTAATACGATATATCTTAGTATTAAAGTTGATATAGTCTAGTCCTCATGATATCACATAATATATATACATATTTTATATACTATGTAGTGATTTTAATAGTATGTATAGGGGTCACAGATTGATGGTCCCGGTAAAAGTTGATTCGTATGCCATCAATACGGAAAAAAACAACCCTCTCAAAACGAAACGTTTTTTTGCAACACTAAGATGGCACACAGGGGTCTTTAACACGTATTTCTCGTGTCGGTAAAACCATAAATCACACTTAGACTTGATCGTAGCGATTCTGCTATTCCTATTGGGGCAGGCACGCTAAGATGGCACAACAGGGGCCACCCACCTATTCGAATGCCATCAAATATTTTTTTTTTGACATTTGCTCGAAATGCCATCTTATTTGGCGCAGTGCAGATGCCATCTATTCGTGATCCGGTATAGGATCACATGTCAATGGAGGCATATACGTTTGACATATATTTCCCCCAACGATTCTTCCAAGCTGAGGGCTGTGGAGATCATCGACATCCCTGGACGGCTGGCAGCTCTCATCCCGTGCCCGGGCAGCGGCAGCGTGAAGGTTGGGAAGAGGGATTGTAAAGACATCATAAGACATCTAATCAAGTATTTAATGTATTTAATGTATTTAATGAAGAAAGGAACGCCTGGCAAAGCCGCAATTAATTACCGCGGTTTGTTTGCACTCCTTCAAATTTTTTGAAACATTGTCAAAACCAAAGATCCACTTGAAGGTGGGACTGGGTGCCATGCTGCTGTGGCACTACTCAGGTACGTGGTTTCGGCCCTTGCAAAGGAGTACCACACTTACAAGGGATGCTTTCTTCCATTAATACCTCCGAGTGGCACATAGTCACACGAGACTTTTCAGAAGTGAAATTGTCCAGGTGGAGACCGGAATCTGCAGAACAAAGTCATGTTGAAACTGTTCAGGCTTGGCAGTCAATTTGAATCTGCGATTTGCAAACACAGCTGGCTATATATCTTTCCTCGGTGGTGGTAGCAGTGAGTTTTGTCCATGACAATACCGAGAATTTGACTGCACAATTGTTAAAAGCAATCCAGGTCGGTGGCATTTCAGCATGCTCTCTTTTTGGCGCAGGAAGAAGTTTCAGAAAGGATAAGAAAGGTATACCATGGTATACCACATCATATACCTTCCCAGAATGAGTGATATCCTGGTGGGTGGGAACAAACGCCAACCTTTTTGTG